ACGAGGAAATTATACTCATTACCGACACGTGCAACTATCTTATCTGCAATCGACGCAGCTTTCTCAATTGAGGAGTCTTCCAGCAGAGCCGTTACCGTCGGTTGGACGTGACATGGCAACGACTCGAGCCACAGCTCTCTGCCAATGTCAAAGTTGGCGTTCGCTGGGCCGGCTAGCGAGCGTAGACGCGCAAGATGCCTGCTTGGTGTCGTGTCACCAATCGGGTGACGAGCCAGCAACTGACGTAACCTCTCCTCGTTAGAGGGGGTGTAGAACTGAAGGATTGTAGCCTTCAGAACGTCGTACGCACCCTTTGCAGGTGGTTCATAGATAATATCCCTAATGGCGGACATTCGGTCGTCAGGGATCGACTCTACTGCGTAAACGTATTTGGAGCGCTGGCTCCGCACGTTACGGGCGACAACCTGCGTTTTCTAACACAGCAAACCAAACCTCAGGGTCATGAGGGATGAAGGCTACTGACTTAAAACTAATAGCCAATAGGTCCAGTTCCCTATCATCTACTGGTGGACTTTCCTTGGACATCGTACAAATGCGATAAAGAAATATATTCTGCAAATGATAATGAACCGTGAGGAAAAAGTGCAAACCAAATTGGATTTGACGTACAAAGTAGACGGTTCGGGCTCACCAATGAAGCTATCCTGTGTTGACGGCCTGCTGGCAAGTCTTCTTACGAGTTTCAAAGTGCGCACGACCTCCTAGTGTCTCGTTGCTTGAGGTAGACAAAACCACTGGTGGGAGTCGTAAACGCTTGTTGGCGAATCGTGGTACNAAACAGTGCAAGCAATAAATGCAGTAGCAAAGCGGAAGCGTGCCACTCGTGTTGCGTGGGTTTGAACAGGACTGAGGTTATATATACACCTGAGCAGAAAACCGTGCTCGGTAAAACAAGCAGAAGTAAAACAAAGAAATATCACAGTTCGAGTCAGAGTTGATTGTGAAGAAAATATGAGCGACAAACGTCCACGTGGATTGCTCCTTTTCTTCGTACAATCATGGTCACTACAACTCTATTAACTAAAAGTGATTTTCGCTAAACCATTAAAGCGCTTGTTGACGCTACTGGGGGATTATCAGCTTTTTTCTTGAGGCTCGGAGATGGAAGACAAATACGCTTANCTCTCCGTTATCTATGGTACTGATCCTCGTCTTTCGAATAATATCCTGGGGTCCAGGCATTTCCCTTTCATAACTGTTACACGTCGAATTTGATTACATTGGAAACCTAAGTTATCCAAAGAAATGTCTATTCATTGAAGTACATTGTAGTAATATTAGTCGTAGTACGCAATGAACGTGTAATACGAATCACGGTTGAGGCGTAAGCACTGGAACACACGCGTACTTGCACGTAATATCCCACGTTACCGAGACGCAAGGAAAACGCCACGTGAGTGGTAGTTTGCTGACTGAAAGAAATGAGAGGGAATAAATAATATGTACAAAACAAGCTCACTGGCCATAGAAGCCTCTGCCAATCGCGTTCTACTATTTCTGACGTTGTCCAGATTCTGTCTGAACCGCATGGTTTCCTTGCGGTAACTTGCAGTTCGTTCGCGCGCCGTTTGAATTTTCACTGTGCTCTATCTCTTTCACACTTTTTCTCCGGTACTAGTGATATATCAGTAGATATTTCACTATAATAAATCGTACAGAAGTTTTCCGTTTACCAATGTCGCCTGTGATCTGTCGAAGATCACAAACTGTTTACTAGGCAATTTTTCTGCGTGCATTTTGGTGTTTCGCGGGCCTAGAGCATGTTTTAGCTTTTGCAAAGCGTATATTTTACGTTTTTGTATCACTTAGTATCGACTTTTACAGAGTAAGAGAACTGTTTATTTAAACATTCTTGTTTAACTTGTAATGAGATTCTAAGATTCTAATAAGATTCTAACGCGTGTGAAACCAAATGTTGAGGTAAATATGTCACCCAAAGGATTCAATACGATGGCTATGGAGTGTGGTACCACCAGCGATGCTCTCAAATGACCAAAATGACGTATCAATTTCACCTGTAGCACGAGTCCTTTAGCTGAGTTTGTAACCACTGCGTAACACTAGCCGAGGAGTTCAGGAGAATTCTGAAGGCATGAGTGGCTCCCCAGAATAAGGAAAACCAAGAGAAACCGGAAGGGATTACCTCTCGGTCATCCGCGAATAAAAGTACACAAATGAGGGAAGTAGTAAACTGAAACAGAACATGAGACTTATATAGGCTAAGAATACTGTGGTCAAACCTGAGGTTCAGCCTAACTACCGGGAAATGTTACCGCGAATTCAGCAAATAGAAAGAGAACATCAGTTGCTGAACAAGAGCAGCAAATTCCTTTAGGGAGAAAGAAGAACTTGCTCCCGCATAATTGAGCGAAGCCAAGGCAAGAAGGCAAGCATCGTCATGTGCAGAACACTTTTAGGTTAGCAGGGTTGCCCCCGAGCAGCTCATACAACAAGTGTCACAGAACTGGTCAGTGGAACGGGAAAAGCTCAAGCGGTTCAAGGCCTTAGTGGTGTTTCAAAAAACAAACATAAGAGATATCCTACTATCAAGAGCTTCAAGGATCAAAGATCTAACTCAGGGGCGTATCATAGTCACCCAAGATAGAACTATCAAGGTGATGGAACATGTGTATTGATCGATCTGTGAATATCCTTCCTGTAAAGCTCAGCAATTCCACCTTGGTTCCACACTTCGTAACTTTCACACTCTATTCACCTAATATCATCCGACTCACACATATATAGACACTTCAGGTTCCACCTACCTTGCATATTTAAACATCGATCCCATTATCTGACTTTGTTTGCTTTACTGTTTCATTCGTACCCTATTTGTTTTAATCCCGACCTGACCGCTCACATTTGACTCGTTCGAGGGCATCGTCACGATGAGCGCGCTATTATTATCCAGACTCATTTTCCTCCGTTCAGATTTGTTAAATTACGCACACAGTAACACTTGGCTCTTGTTTTTAAGTTGTTTCGCGATCACTTTGAGGTTTGCACATATGTTAATTCCTTATATGCAGTAGGAAGTTGTCCAGGAGTATCTCCAACTCTACAATTGTCCTTGGATTTGCAAAGGAAATGGCACTCTTCACTGTTTTCACCAAATTTTCTGTTGCGCCGATGGAGCAGGGGTGACGTGGTGCTATGCGTAGATGTCGGCTTCCAATACTGTCTAGCCACGTTTTCAACTCCGCAGCGCAGAATCGCGATCCATTGTCAGTCACCAACACTTGAGGAACACCCTCTCGACTGAAACACTTTCGTAGTACCCGCATCACAAACGATGTAGTTGGTGTGCTGGTTAGAAACACTTCAGGCCATTTTGAGTATGAATCGATAAGTACTAGTGCGTGGTGATGGCCGAGAAATGGTCCACAGAAATCGGCGTGCACACGTTGCCACGGAATACAGCTTTCTGGCCATGGGACCCAATTCTTCGGTTTTGACTTCTGCTTTTGTAGGCATGCTTCGCAGTTCTTAGCAGTTCGCCCAATGTCCTCATCTAGACCGGGCTACCAACACATCTGTCTTGCCAACGACTTCATCTTCTCCACCCCTAAGTGGCCTGTGTGCAGGTCTTTTAGCACTGCCTTACGTAACGGAGGTGGGATGATCAGTCGATCGCTGCGGCATAGTATTCCGTCAGGTTGGTCACTGATTTCTTCACGGTGTGCATAGAAAGCTGCGAACTTCCGCTTCAGGTCGGGACGCCATCCTTTTAATAGAGCCGTTATGATTTCTGCATAGTATCTTTTGGTACATTGGCGCAACTCCTCTCGTGATATCGGGGCAGCAGTAGCAATGAAGTGACAACATGTCACTCTTACAGATGTCGTGATGGCAACCGGAGACCACAAAGATACTACCACCCACCCCCGGCATCCATAGACCGGGTAGGTTTAAATCCTATGGTGATTCCATTGCCTGGGTATCGCTAAGTTCACATAGCTGTCCGTTTACTGCTATTCGGATCATTCAAGGATTTGTTATGGAATTTTAGATTCATACCGGGGTCTCATATTCAGTGATATCCAACGGGATATTGAGATTATTAGGCTGAACACCTGAACCAAGAAGCACAAAGCGAAGTGTAATCACAGCTAACGGACGAACTATGGCAGTTAAGGGGACCGCTAGTCTAGATGTACGGTTTGGGAGAGTCATGACGAAACAGGCATTCATGGTATGTATGTATGAATGTTCCACCTCCCTTGCATATTTAAACATCGATCCCATTATCTGACTTTGTTTGCTTCACTGTTTCATTCATACCCTATTTGTTTTAATCCCGACCTGACCGCTCACATTTGACTCGTTCGAGTGCAGCGTGACGGTGAGGGCGCTATTCTTATCCAGACTCATTTTCTTCCGTTCAGATTTGTTGAATTACACTCACAGTAACACTTGGCTCTTGTTTTTAAGTTGTTTCGCGATCACTTTGAGGTTTGTACATATGTTATTTGCTTATTTGATCGTTATTAACGCAGTATCGTAGATACTTGCTAGATCGATCGTTTTATTGACGTTTTGAGATCCGAATTCGGCTACGCGTAGCTCGTTGATGTAAATTCCAAAACGACTTGTTCTGGCTCGACCGTAGCCCGAATGTATTCGACTATT